ACGTTGATTAACAATTGCTCTTTATTTATATATATATAATTTTTTTACTTTATATAATATAAATAAAGAATATACTCATAAAGTTGAATATGATCTTTGCCAGAAAATGGTGGTTGACCAGCAGCCATTTCAAAACATAGAACAGCAAATGTCCACCTAAAATAAAAGAAAAAATAATATAAATAATTTTGTTTTTCTCTTCTATAACATACCAATCGACAGATTTTCCATAACCTTTATGTTTAATTATTTCTGGCTATTTATAAAACAAAATAATAGTAATAAAGTATAATTCTTAATTTTAATTATTTGATTACAGGTAAATAATCTGGAGTGCCACATAATGTATATGTTCTACCCGCAACATGTTTTGCAAAACCAAAATCTGTTACTTTTAAATACCCATTTTCCGCAATTAAAATATTTTCTGGCCTTCATCAAAATTATAATTATATATTAATAAATCAAAATTAAACATACTTAAGATCTCGATATCTATTTAAAAGAAAATTAAATATCTTCATGAATAAAAAAGAAAAATCTTACAATATATCAAAATGATGTAAATATTCAAAGACAAGAAATATTTGAGCAGCATAAAATTTCACATGTTTTTCATTAAATTTACCTGTATGTCTTAAATATGTAAATAGATCTCCACCTAAAATAAATAAATTTTTTTGTATATCCAGAAAAAAATAATATTTTTACCACTAATATATTCAAGAGATAAATAAATAAATGAATTATCTTTAAATGAAAAAAAATATCGAACTGTATTTGGATGTTGTAATGAATATAAAACTCGACGTTCATTTAATGTATGATCAATTTGTTTATAACGAACTAATTTTCTTTTATCCATAACTTTAATTGCATAAAATTTATTTCCATCAGTTTTATTTGAATTCTCATTTTTCAATAAAGCTAATACAACACGACCAAATGAACCTCGACCAAGTGTACGTATCAGTTGAAATTTATCTAATGAAACTATTGTATCACATGGTAATACACGAGACCATCGTTGTTTAAAATTTTCTATTAATTCAGTATCTTCATTTATATTTGTATATGAAATAAATTGATAAAGATCATTTTTAGCACCACGAACTAACGATGATGACATTAAAAAATTATGAAATTCGAATAAATGGTTTTGTTAAGTATTCGTACCATTAATCGATATTATAAGAAAACAAAATAATAAACAAATTTTGTAAATATAATGCGCCTTTTTAAATATTTCGTATATAGTGATTGCATCTAGTGAACATGTGAAAGTCATCGATGACACGAACAACCTTCTGATTATTTGTCAGATGAAGCCAAATGAACTTAACTAATCTTATTGATTCAATATTGAAATAGTTCAGTCAGTTTTATTTCTTTCAACAATGAATTTATTCTCTATGTACTTCAATTATTAATCGTAACCTTCTCATTACTCTATGTTCTTTTTTTTTTCATTTCATTAAAGACTGATACTTTTGCTTTCAATTTGATTACATTTCAATGACAAATAGAATATTTCAAAGTTTCAAATTTCATTTCAGACCTCTATTTTAATCAATATATACTTTTATAAGTTTCTCTTATCTTACATTTCTTTTTCTGTTTCTTTCTAGAATATATACTCATTAATACTTTTAGTCATAATAATTCAAATAAGCTCAATTTAGTTTTGCTTTTTTTTTTATTTATAAGTAAAACAATAATCATAATGATGTGTTACTAGAGAAACAATAAAATATGTTTGTTAAAACAAAAAAAGGAAGATAACAAAAGACATTTCATCTTCTTCATTAAAATAGAATACAATCAGTTCGATTCTTTCTTCTTTTCTATGTACACCTACAAGTCTTTTGCTGCCATAG